GAGGAAGCTTCGATCACCTTTGGCTCACCTCCTGTTGTGTGGCCCAGTTTCTAACAGGAGACAGACTGATATCAGTCCATGGCCCAAGGGTTGGGGATCATTGGGGTAAAGGACATAGGAACTAAGAAGGGGGAAGGATGCAGAGGGAGGTGAGGGATAAAAACTTACCTGTTGGGTACAATGTATACTACTCTAGTGACCGCCATGCTAAAAGCCGTTTAGCATTATACAATTAATTCTTGTAACAAGAACAATTGTACACCCCTTTATATTTTGAAATAAAAATGTTTTTAAATTTTTAAAAATCAGGAAAAGAAAAAGATTAACCATACCAAGTATTGGTGAAGATTAAGTAGAACATTCATTCACTGCTGGTGGCAACATAAATACTACAACTACTTTGGAAAACAATTTGTCAGTTTCTTAAAAAGTTAAACATAATGTACCATACATCCAGCCATTCCACTCTGAGGTATTCCCAAAAGAAATGAAAGCATATATCCAAAGACTTCTACATGAAAGTTCATAGCAGCTTTATAAGGAATAGCCAAAAACTGGAAACAATCTAAATGCCCATCACTAAGTGAAAGGATAAACAATTGTTGTGTATCCATGTACTGGAATACTATTCAACAATAAAAATAAACTACTTACATACCATTGATGAATCTCAAAATAAATATGCTATGTGAAAAAAGCCAGACAAAAAGGGGAGTGTGTGTGTGTGTATGATTCCACTTACATAAAATTCTAGAAAATACTAACAAATCTATAGTGAGAGAAAGCAGATCAGCAGTTGCCCTGGGACAGAGGTAACAGGAAAGAGAAGGAGAGATTTCAAAGGGACACATGGAAACTTTTGAGTGTGATGGATATTTTTATGACTTTTTGTGATGATAGTTTCAGAGGTAAATACAAATGACAAAACTTATCAAATTATACATTTTAAATAAATTGTACAGTTTACATTATACAATTTATTTTATGTTCATTATTCTTCAATAAAGCTTTTTAAACTAATTTAAAGAAAAATAACTATTACACTGAATTATTAATTACTTCACTTTGAAAGTACTAAGAAGGAAAAATAGTGCCATAAGAGTAGTATATAATAAGGGGTTACCTAGTCTGAGGAGTCAGAAAAGCCTCCTTTAGAAAACAGTATTTAAGCTAAGATTAGAAGATAATCAGTAATTATCCAAGCAAACACCAGACAGGAAAGAGAGTTCAGAGAAGTAACAGTGTATGTAAAATGCACTGAGGCCAAAAAGAATGTGACACTTTGAAGGAACTTTAAAAGACCAGTCAGCACAGAGGAGAGGAGGGGTGAGTCTAATCTGCTAAAGGAGCCAAATCATAAAGACATGAGTTCTAGAAAACCACAAGTAACTTACTTTAACAAATTAGGATCTTAGAAACACTCAATTTAAATTTTAAATTCCTATTGTGTGATTTTATATTTTTAAAATGTAAAGAAAAATCCAGTAATATAAATTATCCATTATAATCTTACTTTGAAATGAAGACTTGGGGCCTGGGGACATTCAATTTAATTTTAGAGTTACTGGCAGTTTCCCTATAGTTAATAAAAAGAATTCCAAATATATTTGTCTTCATACATGCATATTTTTTTAATAGTAGCTTTGGGAAAATGTTTAAACATCCTGCCCCTTTTTGTTTATAACAACCTAATTCCTAACATATCTTCATTTTGCTGCCACTGGAAATAGAATATTTCCATTATAAATGTGTGAAAATCAGTATCCAATTTTGACTAACCTAAGAAGTTAAAAAAAATTATCTATATACATTGAATAAGATTTAATAGATAATTTTAGGAAAGTATTCAATAAATATGTTTATAATAATAAATTTGTATCTACAAATAATTCACAATATAGTGATATATTTTCCAATCTCAGAGCATTGATTTAGGTTATTTTGTTTACCTAAGAAAAATTATAAGTCATAGGTTCCAAAGCCACATTAGCAAGAAAATGTTTAAGTTTGAACACAAAATATAAATCTATATAAATATAAATCTCAGCTACTCTACAAAAATAATTCTAAAGGACTAGTTTCCCAAAGAGAATGTCATTCATGCAAATAAATTTTAATAATGTTTTCTAGCCTAACACTACACTAAGCTACTCAAATAAATACAATTTAAATTAGAATCTATCATGCCCCTGATTATTATATCTCAAATATATTTTCTTATTTTCATTCCTAAGTCCTTTACTCTAGGTTTACCTGAAAATTATTGTTCCTTTTGTTTTACCTTTGTGAGGAATGGCTTACAATTCTGGGTGTTTTATTCTTTTCAAATGGAAACAGAAGACTGGACTCAATGCTCAGAGAACTGAAGTACCACTTTTGATACTATATTTGCTTCTACATTTCTTCCCTCAACCATCAATCTTCCATCCTAAAGAAGCATTTGAAGAATACTTTTATTCCCTAGTAAAACCCATATAGTAGAAAAAAAGCTAAGTTACCATGGAACCAACCAATTACTTTTGACACCTGCTTACCAAGATTGATCAATCATTTTTGATGTCTGTTTGTAAGGTTTCCATCCTCTAGTTTAGTTTACTAAAAGACTTTCAAGATAATTAGTGAAGTGAGAATTTCCAGTTAAAGTCTTTTCCACCGTGTTATTACTTCAAATGCCAGCTAGAACAAGCTACTATCTTCAAATAAACCTTTCATAGCTTAGCTTTACTTTTCAAAGAATTCTTTTCTTTTAAATATGATCTTCTCTTTAACATTAAATACCAACATTTCTTTATCCCTAAAAGTACATAATAAAACACAGATAGTTGTACCATTTATATTTACTCTAATTATTAGCTTGTATTCCATAGAGAAATACAAAAGTATTTACCAATAGAGTACAATGAATCATGGAAAATAACAGCTTCCAAAGAAATTATGAATATTCAATGACTAATGCAGGATTTATTATTATTTAACTATATCTACATTAAATATCTATTCTTCTTTTACTCACTAATGTATTTTGTTTATGAACACCATCTCTCAATGTTACTTAATCTAGTTTTAACTTGATCTGTGATCTTTCTTACTAAGTGGGACATCTGCTAGTGAGGTCACAGGCTGCTGATCCAGCTGATTAACAAGTTTCACTACTTTAAAATGTAAATTTCTCAGGACTGCAGCAATTTTTGTCCTTTTTAGACAAACGGAGCAAATCTACCTACACATAGGCCAATATCCCTAAATTACATACAAATCAAGTAATCTCCCTATGTAAAAAAAAAAAAAAACAGATATGGCTTTTTTCACTGTTGGCTGCCAGTTTATATGTTCAAAATTCTCCTGCTAGGTAAAGAGACTGGTTGCTATTGTCACAGCAAAAGTCTAAGAACAGTTGAGTGAAAAAAGGCTGCTAACAAGCACAATTCAGTAAGATCTCTTTCCTCTTTTTGAAACACTTTTTAAACTTTTAATTAACACCTCTCCCAAATAAAAAAAGTATTTTAAAAACTATGATTCTATGCTTACTTGTGAAAATATTAACCCTAGAAACATTTCAACGTATTATTACAAAAAAAATTTCATAAAACTTCACTTTGAGATTTCAAAAACCAGCAACAAATTAATTTAAATAGAATCTACCTAAAAATTTTAAGTCCCATTTTTTAAAAATACATTTTTATATTGAATTTTTAAGGGGCATTGTTTTAATCAGTTCATAGTAAAAGTAAAAAAAAAAAAGGAAAATATGCTGTGTTTAAAACTCCAGGAAATTGTCCTAGAATACATAAATAAGGAGAACCATATTCTTACCTTTGCCTTTAGAGCCCAACGGACATTTCACCTAGATTTTGCTATTATCCCTGACAATAAATATTAGTAATGTACAATGTATATTTTCAGAGCCACAAACCATCCAGCAAACTTCATATTAAATCTCTAGAAGACTAAGAAGCTTTCTTAATGACTGCTATCTGCAAGTTATCAGAAGGCTACCCTAATAGCTTTAATTAACTTACTGTTTACTTCCCCCACACCCACCCATTTCTTTTTATATCTGGCAGGAATGTAATAAACAGCAACCAACAGGGGGAAAGTATGTCTACCTTAGTAAAGCAAACTCCTTAAGCGCCCTGAGCTTCAGAAAAGCCAAAGTGGTGTTCCCACATAATAGCTGATAATGAATTAACCAGTTAGAAAAGCCCATTATCTCCACCACATAAAAACGTTCCGGTATTTCATCCTTTTATCTAATCTAAAGTCACCTTTGTATTTCTCAATCCAAGATTGGTTAGCAAATTAAACACAGCACATTCGCTAAAAGTACACGTTCTGGAGTAAAGCTGGCTAATTTGGAATCACAACGTGGCCCTTTCTAACGTGTAATGTTGGGCAAGTTACTTAAAGGCATTGTCTCGATTTCTCTCCGTAAATCCAATTCTAGTAACTCACACAGTTGTGAGGAACAAATGAGATAATCGACAAAAAGCGCTTAGAACAGTGTTTGGCACACAGCGAGCCCAATATAAACTCTTCTTATGATCACTATGATGATTACTAAATAAACTGTTAGCAGGGGTCACCTCTACAGAGAAGAGTAGGATGGGGTCAGAGAGAGGTACCGGTAGACCATAACTTTGAACCTTTACCCTTCTGTATTTGAATTTTTCACAATGTGCAAGTGTTTCAAGAGTTTCTTGCATAATTTCTGATTTTAAAATATTGTCCTAACAAAATGGTGTTGGTAATCATAACTGATAGTGAAAACGTTCGTGCTCAGCGGGGGATGAGAAGTCGCTGCGGACACCAGGAACACTCAGGAAAGGCTTCGCTCCACGTCGGTCAATGCTCCGAGCGGGCCCTAGTGTCCCCGGGACGCCCGGGGCTGGAGGGGCGCAGCGCGGGCCCCGCTCCCGGCCGGGGGATCCGAGGCCGCGGCGGGGGAGGCCTCGACGGGAGCGGGGCAGGGCTGAGGTTCGGGGTCCGGAGAAGGCACTTACTTGAACCTGCCCTGGCAGTGCTGGCACTGGTCCCCCACCCAGCCCGGGTCGCAGAGGCAGGTGGAGTTGACACAGCGGCCCGAGAAGCAGGAGCCCGTCCTCTCGCACGGCTTGGACTGGGACACCTGCGCGTAGAGCGCCAGGTAGAGGAAGCCATAGCACAGCAGCCAGCTGTTCCCGTCCAGCAGCCAGGAGGAGGCGCCCCCGCCGCCGCCGCCGCCCGCCGGCCGAGCCCTCCACAGCCCCCGGGCGGCCGGCTGCGGGGGACCGGTGCGGGCCGGGCCCCCTGGCTCCATCTTCCCCAGCGCCCCTGCCCGGCCGGGCTGCGCTCGCGGGCGCAGACAGGGATGCTCCTGAGAGGAATTCTGGCCGGAGAAAACCTCGCCGCCGCCGCCTCTCCTCCTCCTCACCGGCGCCTGTCCCAGTCCCGCTCCCCGGTCAGGAGGGACAGATCCCAACCGCTGTCGCCTCCGCTCGGCCGCCTCCAGTCGCACTCCGGCATCGCCGCCCAGTCTCCTGACCTTGTCCTTAGCGGGCCGACCCCACAGCCGCAGCACCGGGCCGGGCCAGCGGCAAGGAGCAGGCGGCGCAGGCTGCGCCCGGCTCTCGTGAGGGGACCTGACCGGGAGGAGGAGGGGACCCCGCGCGCGGCCCCGCCTCGCCCGCGGCCCGCGCCAACTGCCTCAGCTCCGAGAGCCGCGCGCCCGGGAGGGCGGGGGCCGAGCGGGAGCCCCGAGGTGGGCGCGCCCAACGCGGAAGGGGGGAACGGGGAGCCTGCAGTCAGCCCCGCGGCGCCCGTCAGGCGGCCGGCCGCCCACCGACAGCCTCCCGCTCTCCGCGGCCGTAAGCCAGCTGCGGGGGCCGCGGCTGCAGCCCGCGGTGCGTGGGGCCGCCCCCGACCGTCGCGCGTGCCCACGCTCCCCCCCACAGGCCCCGCGCCGTGGTCTCGCCCCGCCCTGACAGGGACCGGGACTCCCCCCGCGCGCGCCCACCCCGCCCGGCCCGCGCGCTGAGGGGAGACCGGCCCCCCAGGTGTGGCCCGCGTGCCCGCTGTGCCCTTCCCTCCGCGTGCCGGGGAACCCGGCCCCGCCCGCGCCACGCGCCTCCGGAGCTCCACAAATGAAAGAGCGACACGGGCTTCGCAGCTTCAGCAGAAAAGAAGCCCTTCCCGTCCGCGGTCTACAGCTGCAAAAGTGCAGCGCTTTTCCCCAGCGCTTCCCCCTCCCTCAGCCCCATCCTTCTCCCTGTTTCTTCTTTTCCTGCTAAAAGAGAGAAACTCCAACAACACACAAAGGGCTGAGCGTGTGCAGCAGGCAAAAGTCTTAAAGGCACCGCAGTCCGACCGCGCTGTGGGGTCTGCGAGGGCTGGGAGGGGCGGGGACTGGGGACTGCGAAACTCGCGAAGCGGTCGCCGCGGAGGGACCTCCGAGGGGGAGCCATTTCTTCCTCGGAAATAAGGACTCCCCCGCCCCCAACAAAGAACTGCGAGGAGAGCCCCGAGCGCGCCACCCCTTCCAGACGCTGCCTCGGAACCCCACGCATCTCCTTCTCTGCTTGTCAGTGTTTCCTCCTCCATCTGGGACAATATTCTGCCTTGAAAAATATTGCAACATCGGGGCTTTTTTCAGAAAAACAGAAATGATGGCCAGAAAAGAGCCGTTTTCCTTCCTCAGCGGCAATCTTTCTTCCTTTAGATGACTTTCCAAGATTTGATGGCATATGCTGAAATTTTTGCTTTGTACTTTTGTGCCTTCTCTAAACAGCCTTTTTATTTGAACCCTTGAGAAAGGGAGCCAAACACAAATTGCAGCCATGTATCCTCGAGTTACAGCAATGTTGCTGGAACCCCACCAAAGAGCAGGCAGTAAGAAAAAGAATTTGAAATCTACCAAAGGCATTTCTGACAGGAAAAAATAAAAAAGTTTTAGTTGTAACCACATAGTCATAATATTATTGTTAAGATTCAACTCATGTTTATTTTGCGTCATCTCTTTTAATCTCTATTATCCCCACTTCGTAGATGAAATCCTCCATTAACCCCATTTTGCAGATGAGGAAAGAGTGACTCAGAAAGATTGAAATAATTGTCAATGGCAGGGTAGGAGTAACTAATGAAAAGAGCTTTAAACACAGTCCTCTGACGTCTGTGCTTTTTCCACTCTTTATTTACCAGGCTGCTTCTATTAGCAGATGCTTTGTTCTTCCTTTGGTGACTAAAATAAAAATAAGTGTTGGCTTGGTTTACAAATACCTCACCAGTGACTTCAGGAGGAAAACAAAGGTCAAGAAAGAGGTGGCTCCTTTGCAAGTAAAAAAGAAAACAATGATTCTCACTGGTATAACAAACAAATCGTAATTTCCATAGAATATCAGGAGCAGCAGTGCCATCATCAAACCTAAAATTAGGATGGCCCCTTTTCCTTTCACATCTTTTCCATATCAGGATGCCCCTTAGAGACTTCTTGAGATAGGGGAAGAACCAGAGGAGAGCATTCTGCAAAAACCAGTTAAAAGGAGGATGCTGTTCTAGATCACACCTTTTAATTTCCATGACTGTGAAATCCAGAAAAATTCTTTCTAGTGTCAGCCACACATGAACAATCTCTGCTGCTTTTCCATTCTTCTTCTGCCAGCCAAAGTTTAAAGTCAGCCACATCTTTCTCACTCTAATGTAGAGTAGATTTCAGACATGTGGAAAGTGGCCAAGCTCTTAAAACCCTCAGTGAGTGTGAAAGTAATTCAAAGGGTGCACTGGAGTTCCTTTAACAAGAGAGAGAGAGATCACAGCTCAGCCACATACTGACTGTAGCCTATATTTAAGCAAAGGGTTTGCCCATTAAAAATACATATCTTTTTATCAACTATCCACTATAATCAGCTTAATACTTCCGTTACACTGAAGAACATGTGGCCCCACAGGCATCCTCTCAACATTGCCTTTAGATCAAGCTGATTTCCACTTATTCTATATTTCTCTTTCAAACTCTTTTAGTCAACACTTACTGAGTAACTGTTATGAATTTAACCAAGAGAAAACAAAGATGAATAAAGCATGATTTCTAACCCTAGATAAGCTTATCTTCTATCAGGCTCACTAGACTGTGAGATCCTTGTGCAGTTGAGTGTCATATATTTGACAAATGTATACACAGAAAACTTAAATGATTTTAAATTGTCACATAAAAAGTCAATGGCAAAGCTTGCCTAGAATCTTGAGTTATGTTTCAGTATCTTCTATAATCAAGAAATTTTAAAACCTCCAATATGATGTTTTCTTTTTTTCCTAAAGAAGTAGAGTCAGCATCCTAGGCGTGCTATTCGACACTGAAATAATTCATAGCATTGGTAATAGCAGTCATAAATCTCAAAGAACGGTGAGAATTTACTCCAAAGACGTAGTAGGGGAAAAGCCAGTTTTACTAAAGTAGGATGAAACTGTTAAGAACTATCTATTAAAATTTATCCAAAAGGAAAGATAAGTATATTTGTTTTCTTTAGGCTTACAACAGGACCTTTAGCTATTTTGAGGAATGTGTCTCATTTTCTGTTCACACCACTTAACAATAGTATTATAATATGATGGGCAAAAATCTAAGACTTCACATCACTGAATTGTTTGAAGGAAATTCAAATAATTTTTTTAAAAGAACAAGAGAAACAATAGATCTGATATCTTTTGATTGCTACTCAAAAAGTAAAAGATGCTATTTGGACTGATGAACTTAGAGCAGACCCTCCTCAGTTGCTTAATTCAAGAATGTTCACTGCTGTGGCTATTGTTCACCCTTTGGCTCCTATGAAGCTTCTGAAAGCAGCCAAGATAGTGAGTGCTGCAGATAGCCTGGCATCAAAAGCTAGCAATACAATCATTCAAAGGGACCCATAGAGCAATTGGGGCAGCATTTATAAGACATTGAAAGAGCATTAATGATCTATGAGGTTAGACATTAAAGACAAAAATCAAGTTTAGGTACTCACTAAACAATTACTAATGATATTAAAAATGTCATATGGCTATGATCTGAAAACCACCCATACCCACAACCAAAATCTAACAATCTGCTTTCTCTTGGATTCATTCTTTTCTTCCATCAGTTTCTCTTGCTGTTTCACTTGCAAACACACACATACACTCTGATTCTTGTGCCAATTTTTCTACATAACACATTTAAAACATATTGTTATAAATAAATCCAAGGAAATAAATCCAAAGATTATAAATTCACTATGCTGGGCTAATACATTTTTTTTAAAAACTGGGAAATAAATTGAGCATCCTTAAACTTTTTATCCTAAATATTCAGACTTGTTTTCAAAAAAAGTTGATTGCCAATAGTCAATTACAGAAATTTGTCTTTTGTGAAATTTAATTCCATAAAAATATGGGCTAGGATTTCTGTTAATCAAAATGGATTAAGTATGTGCATTTACCTCTGCTCCCCTCACAAACTTTACCAACATGATGGGAAATTTTTTAAAAATACTTTTTAAAGTTATAAACTCACAATGACAAAGAAAAGAAGAAAAGAACCAACTTGTAGATGAGAAGTGACAATGCATTTAGAAGGAGAAAAGTGAATGGAGAAGTGATAACTCAAAACATACACGCTGCAAGAAATGAATAACCTGTTTGTCCTGGGGAGCCCAGGAAAGCCTCAGGACTCAGCAGATAAGAGTTACCATGGAAAGTAGAGGTGGAGCCTGAAAAAAAGGGGAATGGTTAAGGGCAGAATAAACTCATATAGTCCCCTTCGTCAACCCAAGAGGCTGAAGACTACTCCAAACCTAACCTGGACAGGAGGTTTAACAACTTGGGAAATTGAATTAGAAGCTCCAAAGTTGGGGCATCAGGCATAACAGAAGGAGGGAGTGGTACACAGCTGAAAATGGAGAGATTAAAGAAAATCTACATATTGAATGATAAAATTTCCCTGTCCTCTTTTCCTATCTATTCCCAGAACACCTATGACCAACTGAATAACACTCAGGTGGAAAACTGAAGGATACTTATCAGCAGAAGTTGATCAGTTCCAAGACAAAAGATACCGTCATTTGGAGACCCAACCAGAAGACAACCCAACCTCCATAGTGAAGCCTGATTGTCAGTAAGCCTCTTTTTCTTTTCATGATTTCCTCTCAGATAAGGCCAGTAAAGTTCCAGTAGACATAAAAGATAGAAACCAAAACAGAGAAAAGAAAATTAAAGGAAACAAAATCGAGCACTAAAAGTTGGGAAAATAAAGTCTAGGAAATCTCCCAGAAATTAGAATGAAAAGGTAAAGAAAGTTCTTCTCTATCATGGAGGGGAAAAGTAAGAAAATTAGAGGATTCATTCATGATTATGCATAATAGATACTACTATTTTAAATTAAGCATTTCACCTGCCTCCTTAGCGCAGTAGGCAGCGCGTCAGTCTCATAAATTAAGCATTTATCATATGAGTGCGGCTATTAATATGATAGTGCATTAATGCACAACATATATAGGACAAAATTTGTTTATAACAGTTCATCAAAGTATTAACATAAGGAAATTTCCTAGAACTAAACTGAGACTTTAGAGGAAAGACCCACCATATCCTAAAACACTGACTAAAAAGACTCACAAATGGGGGCAGGGGAAGGCTAATGCAATGGATTGGAAGTAAGAATAGTATTAAAATTCTTAACAGTAA